GACAAGCAACTAGGTCACGCTGTTCCTGCAGCAGCCCTGGCACAGGCTGTATGTTCCGCACTCCCTGCTCGGCATGCTGGAGCCGAGGCTGGAACAGCCTGGACCCTGTGCCCTGTGCGGGGTGACGGGCCCTGGGAAGGACAGCCCACGAGCCTGTCCACTCCAGGGCCCTGACCTCCCCTGCGGCCCAGGCTGCCCATGTGATAAACTTGCTGAAGGAAAAAGCGAAGGTTTAGTTCCTCCAACTTGGGTTGCAAAGCCCGGCTCTGCTCTAAGCCTCCGTGGGGCCTGTCCTCGGCACTGTCAGTGGTATCCACCCCCTGGTGGCAGACATCTGCCCAGGACCACTGTGACCCTCTCCGTGCTGCAGGCGGTCACAGAGCAGCCACACACAGGAGTCTGCAGCAGCAGGCAACCAAGAGAGGGGTCATGGCTGCTCCCCTGGTCACCTGAGCAAGGGGTGGCTCTGAGCACACATTCGCGGTTGGTCCCTGAGACCCCTTCCATCATTCCTTGATTTTCTGTCAAACAGCTCCTGGCTCCAGCCCATCCATAGATGGAGAGAGTGAGGCACTGGACATCAACCCCGAAGAGGGGCGGAGCTTCAAAGCACCTCGGGGGTCTAATCACCGGGGCTTTCATGGCAGTGCTGCCCCACTGTGCCTGAGACGTAGGCCAATGCCTCACTCCACTGGCACCTACACACATTAAAACTCATGGGCCCCTCACCACTCTCTGTGAGGTAGGAACCACCACACCCACTTCCCAGGTGGAGAAACTGATGTGAAGTCACACTGGACAGCAGAGCTCAGGCTGGTCCAGCGCCTGTGCGTCCTGCATCAAGCCCCTCCAGGTACATCCCTGTCCCGCGGGCTTTGCGAGTACAGGTGCGCCTGTCTGTGGTTCCGGAGTGACCGCAGCCACTGGTGATTCAGCTATTCATGGACTCAGAGTATTTGAAGGAAACTGTGTCCGCAGAATTTTCTTCCTGCTGTCACTTCCTGAACGACACAGGGTAGCAGCTATTTCCACAACGCTGGTGTCGTACTGGGATTCTCAGTTACCTAGAGGTGATGTGTGTGGGTTACACGCCAGCGCCACAGCACCCTGTGGGAGGGACTGGAGCACCGTGGATGGGGGGTCCCACGGCCTCCCGGGGCCAGCGCCCTCTCATGCCGAGTGCCCGCTGTGTCTCAGCCAGTGCTGCCGCCAGCATGCAGATCGAAGACGGAGGTGGGTCCTCTAAGGCCTCTGCTGCGCTCCTCCCCCGGGCCAGCTGGGAGCATCCTTCCCACCCCGGGTGAGGACGGCTGGGTCTCTGGAGTCTGAAGACCCCACCGGGAGTCCTGGCCCCTCCATGTGGCCTGACTGCCACTTGGAGAAGGTGACTGGGTGTCTCCAGGCACCGAGCCCTTCACCTGTGACACGCACGTGACAAGACCCTTCCTATCTGTCAGTCGCTGGGGAACACTGGGGCCTTCCTCTTCTGGCTGCGACAGTGAGGACGCTGACAGGGGGAGCACTGTCACCAGGCATCCGTGCAGTCCCCAGCAGGGGCTCTGGCTCTGCTCCAGGAATCCCGTGCTCTGTCGGCCTGACCTGGGGTGGGAGGAGAAGTGGCCTGGATGGAAACCAGGCCAGTCTGCGGGGGCTTTGGGCCAGGCCAGTGGGAGTGGCGGTGGTTGGATGTGTCATGCGTTCACGAGGGGATGGTTAGTTGCCTGAGGGTGGGGCCCAACCTCTTCATGCTGGCATCCCTATTGCCTGGCCCAGGGCTCTGCACACAGCTCCCGCACTTGTGTCCTGAGGGTCTCACAAGTGTGTGGTGTCACAGGATTTCCTGGTGTCTGCACCCCACTGCACTATAGTCATGGGTCAGCTTCTAGCAGGTGCGGAAGACAGCTCTGCTCTGTGGAGGAGAGAGATGAAGGTGACCCCAGGCTCCAGCATTCCCCAGCCAGAGCTTCTCCCTGCGGGTAAGGACCTGGGGTCAGCACGCATGCCCAGAACCCCAGGGCGAGGTCCCTGACAGGACCCTAATGCCTTTGGACCACTCTTGAGATTTTCTCAAATCCCCACCACCCTATAAAACACCACTGTAGCGTTTTACTTATAAAAATGTAATAAAGTGGGCTGAGAGTCAAATTCCAATTTCTGTTACTGTTCTTGAAATGTAATTTCTACTTTGGCTGAAGCTCTTTATGGAACAGTGTTTGAAGGGCTTCTCTCATTTCACAAGGGTGTGGGGTGCATCTGAAGCGTGGCTCTCTGCCATCTGTAAATCTGCCCTTGCTCCTAAGCAAGGAGGCTTGTTGCCCCTTCGATGGCGACGTCACTTCTGAAGAGTTCTGCTGGTCTTCACCTCCGTCCTCAGCGGAGGCTGCTGTCGTCAGTACACAAGAAAGTGTCCGTCCCATACCGAAGTGGCTGTGTGCCTGACCCGGCCTGGTGGCAGCAGTTCAAAACCCAGAGGACACCAGGCGGGCTTGCCTCTTCCTACTTTGCTTGGGAAAGTGGGGTTTGGGTCTGACCCACCTCTGGGGACCTCTGTCCCTGTCTCACCCTCTGAGTCCGCTGCACATTGATATCTGCAGTGCCTTGACCTGCTTCCTGCTCTCCTCCCAGTGTGCCCGGGAGGGTGCTGGCATAGGCAGCTCAGCGGAAGGTGGGGAGCAGGTCAAGGACAGCTTGCATCATCAGTAGCAGCGTCTCCCTGTCCTGGTGGACCTGCTGTGTGGGCTGCTGTACCAGGCTGGGCTGAATTACGGGGTTCAAGGTCAACTGGAAGTCACAGGAACGTCCATGCGAGGCCACAGGAAGTTGTCAAAAGCAGCAAAAGAAGCAAGAGAATGCACAGGGTCTGGGTTCAATCCTCAGTGCCACAAAGAACAAAAAAGCAAACAAAGGTGGAGGGCCCCGGCTCCTTTCCCACACTCTGCTCTCCTGAGCCTCCCTGAGCATGCCCATCTCCCCAGACCTGAGCCCTCTGCCCTCCCTCCTGCTCAAGTGGCCTGGGTACTGCCCTGCGCTGCCCTTGCTGGCCATGTGAGCTTTGTCTTCTGCCCTGGAAAACAGGGGTGCACACCCCAGTCCCTGCAGCCCACACGAATGGGCCCCTCAGCAGTCCTGAGCACACAGCAGATGCTGAATACATGTTGGTTGTCATTCCTTTGGTTTTGTTTCTTTTTCCTTTAAATTGGTCAGGCCAGAAATTACAGGGCCAAAAGTCCTTTCTGGTCCTGAAGTTGCTGATGTGGAAGGAAAATCACAACTCTCCAGTGGGCCTGTGCAGGGGCCTGGGGTGGCCTTGGAGCCGGGCAGCCTGGGACTCTGCCCCTCAGGAGGGCCGCTGTGGCCTGGAGCCTCTAAGGCTGGTCCTGTCCCCTAGCCTGGAGGCCTGTGCCACCAGATGCCCTTGCCTGGGGCCGGGCTCGGGAAGCCAAGCAGCAGAGCCCAGCCAGCTCTAGTGCAGTGACTCACAGGACGTGACATGTGGTTTTAATCCAGGGCTCTGACGAGCTGCTCCGGGAGCCCCTCTCCCCCAGGCGTAGTTTTGTGATTACAGTTGCTCAGCTAAGCTTGAAAGGAAGGCACAGAAACTCCAAACCCCAGAGAGCTGCCAGTCTCTTTGTCTGAGGGGTGATGAGTCAGTGGGGGTGAGGGGGCAAAGGTCAGCAGACAGAATCAAGGGGTTGTCATGTCCTCAGGGATGACCTGGAGTTGGAGCCAAACTCTATTTTTATTGCACACACACACACACACACACGCACACACACGCGTGGGCACACACACAGACATAAACGCATGCACACGTGCAGCATCACGTGGCTGTCTCCCTAAGAAACAGAACTTTATTCATGCTCTGTAATGCTGTGGGGACAGGAGTGTGATCTCTGTCAGCCTGTCCTGTGCGCTCATCCCCCTGTGAGCGCATCCTCCTGTGAGCTCATCCTTCTGTGAGCTCATCCTTCTGTGAGCTCATCCTCCTGTGAGCGCTTCCTCCTGTGAGCTCTTCCTTCTGTGAGCGCATCCTCCTGTGAGCTCTTCCTTCTGTGAGCACATCCTCCAGTAAGCTC